TATTATTATTATTATTATTATTATTATTATTATTATTATTATTATTATTATTATTATTATTATTATTATTATTATTATTATTATTATTATTATTATTATTTCTGAGTTCCTCTTGGAAATCAGAGTGTTCATTTTAATGCACTTTATTAAAGCGAAACTTCATCTCCAAAGGGGAAAAAAAATGTCTGACAGCACAAAAGCAGAGTTCTCATTGCGACACCCACCACGTGTGAGCCTTGCCTTTAAATCTGGACGCACTTCAAGCATCTGCTCTTTTAGAGGCACGTCTGAACTATACCTTTGTTCATAACCCCCTCCCTGTGTAGGCCCATTTTAATGCACTTTATTAAAGCGAAACTTCATCTCCAAAGGGGAAAAAAAATGTCTGACAGCACAAAAGCAGAGTTCTCATTGCGACACCCACCACGTGTGAGCCTTGCCTTTAAATCTGGACGCACTTCAAGCATCTGCTCTTTTAGAGGCACGTCTGAACTATACCTTTGTTCATAACCCCCTCCCTGTGTAGGCCTAACCTGCCACTTATTTCACAGAAAGTGGAAATAAGGTGCTTTACTTTTCTATATAATGCATATACAGTATATGTTGCTCCTTTAAAATCATCCGCTCTAAGCGGCAGGTCAATATTCATAAGTGAATAAAACAAAGTTGGATTTTTAAAAAAGTTGTAGCTTCGTACTCTGATGCTCTCAGTTAGGTATCTGTGTGTGCATGCACACACGATAGTTAATCCCCTCTAATGCTGTGGCCAGGCACTCCAACCCCCATCATCTCCATCCAATAGGGCCAATAGTCAGGGAGAATGGAATCTGTAGTCCAGTATTTCCCTATGCACAGACTCTTAGCTCCTTCCTAGCCCACATAAGTGCATATATGCATTTTTAAAAAGCAGTCCTACGCGTGTCTACTGAGATAATAAATCCCATTTATTTATTTGCTACAATTATGTTGTGGCTTTCTCCCACATACGGCCCCCATTCTTCTCATTGCCATTGTTATCCTCACAACAGTCTTGCGAGGCGGGTTGCCTGAGGGACAGTAATTGGCTTGGAGTCGCCCAGTGAGCTTGGCGGCTAAGGGGTGGGGTGGGGAATTCGAACTCAGGTCTCTTCATTTCTGGTCCAACGTTCTGTGGCAGGACAGAGAGGTGAGCATAAAGCTGCAACCTCACGTATCACACGCCTGCAATTTCCTATGTCATGTTTCATCGGGTTGAGTTTATAAAAGTTTGCAAAGGTCATGTTGATCCTCTACTTCAAGAAAAAAAAATCGGATACCCTCACAATTAAAAAAATGCAACAATGGTCATATAACTAAATAGCAGTGTGCTTCCCTTTTTTTTTTGCAATTTCCAAAGGCTTGTGGCAGCCCTCTGCCGAAAGGCAGGGCTGTTTCGTCTAATTCTTTAACAGAAAATGTACAGACAGGGTTCCCAAAATCTGGAAAAGTTTTGACACAGCCGTGCCTACGATCCTCCAGCTGTGCCGTCTGGTGTAAGCTGCAGCAAGACGGCTCAAACAGAGAGAAAAGCCTGCACAAATGGGGGTCGGCCGTCCAAAGACATCCCGGGAAACACTGTCCAGATGAGTCACTTTTTTTTGCAAGCTGATCCTTGTGAATTAAGGAGTCTCCAGTACCTTGAGTCTGGAAAGACCAGCTTTCTGACTTCACCCTGGGGGGAGAGATGATCCAGTTGAAGAAGACAGCCAAGGGGGTATCTTTCACTTACCTCCTCCTTGGTGGAGAAGACCCCATAGGGCAGATTCTGGATGGGGAAGTCGGAGGACTCTTCCACCTGGATAAAAGACATGCCCGTCTCCCTCCTGCAGGAGCAAGACAGGGAAAGGCTCAAGAGACTCTCCAGATGTTTTCACTGCCAAGTTCCTCCCTTCTCCGTTAAAGAAGAAGAAGAAAAAAAGCCAATCGGAGCTCAGCTTCTCCAGCCCACCCCTTCCTGGGGAAATTAAGACCAGGGTTCAGCGTGACTCAGCTGCTGGCTTCCACCCTTTGCTATCCTGAAATGTGATTAACCACAGCCTGCCTGGAGAAAATAGGATTCAAGAGAGGTGGGGACCCAGGCAGGCATTGCAGGGAGCGGATATACAGAACCGGGCCAAAGTCTTAGACCACCCACCACTGGCTTTCTCGTTTTAGCAAAGTTTTAGCGACTATCCATATTTATTTTTCACTCGCTCTGTTAAGATACAAGCGGAAAATACAGGAAATATATACACACTTTAAAAAAACAAACACAATTTTCAGAACAAAAGGCAAATTTCAGTATTCGCTCGGCACAAAGCAGATCTCGAATTCCGTTGGAGAGATTGTCCTGCAGTTTTCCAAAGTAATCTTCTGGCGTACGACACGTTATATGCGTGCCCTGTTCAAAATAAACACCACGCCCGTCTCAGGAAGCAGAGCGTAGAGTCAGGGTCCAGAAAGAAGGCGCGGGAAAACCAGTCTCGGGCAGATGCAGAGGAAGAAAAGTTTGATTTTTGTGTTCCCGAGTTCCGCAAAAAGGTGGAATCTTCATCTCTTTCCATTCCCAGCCAGGTCTCGCTGGTCCAGTACGAAGATCTTCCCAGGGGTGCCGTTTGGTCCCCTACCAACCCCCGAATGCCCCAATCTGCGTGACAAGGATTCTCTGGAAAAGACAATATTGCTGGGAAAAGTGGAAGGCAGCAGGAAGAGAGGAAGACCAAATACGAAATGGAACAACTCCCAAAGGAAGCCATTGTGCTTGAGTTCGCAAGAGCTGATTAGGGCAACTGAAGACAGGACCTTTTCGCTTATTCAAGGGGCATTTGCTTCTGTCTCTATCCTCTTGCGTCTTCAAACTAAGGAAGGCAAAACCTGTTTCCGTTTCTCATTTCCTTTTCTCTCCCCAAGTTTTGGAACATTCTCGAAGTTCCAGAAGGATCCATGTTTGGTTCATCCCAAACGATTCTTTCTCTCCCCAACTGCCCTCTGCAAAAAAGGTCGATTTCTCCCTAGGTTGGGGTGCATTCTTGCCTATGTGCACATTTCTCGAAAGGAGGACAGACTGGAAGAACTGGGCACATTGAGCCCTGAGAAAACCAGACTGAGGGGAGATAACACTTTACAAATATTTAAAAGGTAGTCCTGCAAAGGAGGGGCAGGATCTGTTCTTGATCATCCCAGAGTGCAGGACACGCAACAATGGGCTCAAGTGACGGGAAGCCAGATTTTGGGTGACTATCAGGAAAAACGTCCTACCTGTTAGAGCAGTACGACAACGAAACCCATGACCTCAAGGGGAGGTGGGGAGCGCTTAAATACTGGGGGTATTCAAGATTAGGCAGCCATCTGTCAGACACACTTTAACTTCGATTCCTGCATTTTTTTGGGGGGGGGAATTGGACTCGACGGTCTACGCAGCCCCTTCCAACCACATGATTCTATGAAGTACATGCATAACCCGCACATTTTTGTATGGCATTTTGTGCTGCACCCCTACTCACTTTGGGGGAATCCCTTTCCCCATCAAAAATGCATTTTGACTGCTCTTCTCACTAAGGCCCATATGTCTGTTACACCTCTTTCCCCTACATAGAAGCTTTCTGCAGGGTCTTCAAAATTCAGATGCTCCATTTCAAAATTCACGGAGTCCTTCCGATAAGGAACAGGTTTCGGTTCGGAAGTAAAATAGGGCAAGTTCTTGTAAAATAAATACAGGCCCAAATCCCCGTGAAACCTGGCCGGGCCTTCCCGTTTTCTCGGAAGAAATACATTTTACAGACCAATTATAATGTTATTAAACAACAATGTACAGACACCTCATCACAAAGGAAGACCTCATTGCATTGACCCAAACATTGACCCGTTTCGCCATGGATTCGGTTGTCCGTCCAGCATCACTCGAGACTTATATCCAGTCTGAACTGGTGCTGGTTGCCTTTTGGAGGAAAGCAGGCGATGTTGGAACTGCACAGAAGGTTACGACTCAAGTGTAAATCAAGAGTGGTCTCAAGCCAACGGAAGGTCTAGCCTGCAGAAGTTGGAAAGGATTCTCTCTCTCTCTCTCTCCACAGAGCAGGGTGATGGCATGGGGACAGATCCTGGCTAAAGGGGACGCCCTAATGTTCAAGGGTGTCACAGAAGTCTTCCTTAGGAAGCAGGGCTAGAGGCGTCCTTCACTAGAGCACTTCCGGACGGCCAGCCATCTGGGACACAGCAGTTGGAAGATTCCTGCACCTGCCGACGGGTTGGGATCCAATGGATGGTGGGGCTTGATCCAGGATTCCATCCGGCAACAGAATTCCTAGGCTGTATCTCCCACACCAAGTTGGACAACCAAAGCAAACCAAGAGGGCCCCAGTTGCACGTAACGCTGGGATTTGTGCTTCCAGGATAAACGTTGACTTCCAACTTGAGCCTGACTCTTCTCAACCCTTTGCCAATGTAGCAGCAACGTGTCGAACCCAAAGGAGGGCATTGGGGGCCATTTCGGTAGTTTTGAACTACAATTCCCATACTGTAATGGCCAATTGACTCTTTCTTTTCTTCTTTCAGGTGCACCTCCACAGAGAGACAAACACACACACACACACACCTCCCCTCCTCTGCTGTATAAAGTAACTCGCCCAACCGCCTCGGACTCCTGATTTTTAAAAATTTTATTTTAATCAAAGTTAAAGACGTGAATGAACATAAATACAATACAGTTAAAACTTCATCATTCTTCATATTGGTGTACATAAGGAACCCCATAACAGAAACCCCAAGAAAACCAGCAGTCAGCTATGAAGTGCAGAACAATCCCTCCACATTCACGCGGAAAAGAAAAGAAAAACCTAAAAGTTAAATTTTGGAAGAGAGAGAGAGAAAAATACCACACAAACTTTAGAATCTCAGTGCGTGCACTCACTCTTTCTCCGACATACACACACTCTTTCAGACACACGCTCATTTATGAATGATTCTTACATAAATAAGTAGTGGGTGCAAACAAGCTATTATGCTAATGAATGCATAAACCTTTGTTAATGGGGGGGGGGAACAAAAAAAAAAACCTCAAGCAGCCGTAATGATTAAAATACATTCAGTTACTGATTGCTAGTTGTGCCGTACAAGGCGTTATCAGAAGAAAAGGGGGGGGGAGAGAGAAAAAAGAGGGAAAAAAAGAAGTGATTAGAAGAAGCAAAAAAGGGGTAAGAAAACGAAATTTGTGCCGCAGAGAAAAAAGCTATATACAAAAATGAAGGAAGAAAAAAAAAAAGGGAAATGTCCGAGTTAACGCATGCATGTTTAGTACTCTAAGAAACCAAGCACGGATGCCCCTCTGTAATATCTGTCTGTGTTTGCATCATATATATATATAATATCATATATATCATATATATATAAACCCACCCTCTGCACTCAACTAAAATTAAAAATCATCTTTAAAGGATAATACTTGGATAGCCACGGCGTTGGTTCGAGAGGCCAAAAGGGCATCATCGTGAATCGGAGAAGTGTCAAGGTTAATTTTTTAAAAGTCTTCAGCCGGAGGAGG